AAAAGATGCTCTATTTTACCAATTTCGAGAGATTTTAACTTTTTTACCAATTTTTTAATGGTGGCGGAAAAACATAAGAAAAGGAAATTGTTAAAAATTTTCTTCTATGGATATACATACATAAGTTTCTAGTAAAGTTCTATTTACATTTTAAATTTGAGCTTTTTATCTTAAAGGGTGTAGAAAGTTTTGTTAACGCGTCTACGAACGGACGGACGGGTGAACAAACAATGTTAAACTAATTTGCCTTTCTATCAAAAAAAAAAAAATTTTTTTTTTTTAATATTTTGTTTTTATTACAAATGTTATAAAAAAATATTCAAAGAACTATCGAACTAAATTTAAAACTACATCTCATTAGGGTAAGAAATCTCGTGTGAAATTTCTCTTCCTCGAAATTCGACTTATTCAAATCCAGTTAATTTAGTACAGTGTGTATATAGGTATAATTAGAGAAAGCTCGAGAATATTCTTTAGGTAACACATAATTTTCATAAAAAAAAAAAGATTCAAAAACATTAATAAAATGTATTAGTCAAGTTTCGTATATACCAAAATTTTTCATTTCATTATTATGTAAAATCTAATTAATTTAATTTATTTTTATAATTTTATTTTTCTCTATTAAAACACAACAATTTAATTTGTTGTAGAATTATTATTATTTTTTTTTTGTAGAAATCATCATATATACGAAAATTTTATAATATTATTTTTAATTGTGAATCTGATAAAATTTTTTATAAATAAAACTCAAAAAAAAAAAAAATTAAACATTCTTAAACTACATCCTTATAATTTTCTCTATATATTTTTGTTTTTATTTATATTCTAATTATATTCTAGACGATTTTTAATATTTAAATTGAATCAACATTGTAGTTATAGAGCACATTGCACAGGTATTCACAGTATATTGAAATAATAACCCAGTTGATGCACCCACCTTAATAATAAAAATTTATCTCATGCATTATTTTTAAATTTTAAAAATACTACTTAGCATTTTTAAAAAATTTTACAATTTATAAAATGCACTGACGTAAATAGAAATTCAAAATTTACCTAGTAAATGACTAATTTCTAATAATATTCTAATTACATTTGAGTACATGTAAATATATAAATTTTAATATAGCTTTGATAGAAATTTGGCAAAAGTTTAAATTTTCGAAAAATAAGTTCGCATAAATTGAAGTTTTGTTAAGTTTGAGAAGCGAATAAGCATACGCTAGAAAGGAGGTAGAAAAAATTTTTACAAATAATTTTCTTCTAAATTGTATAAAGAAATAGGTTTCTTATTCAACCTGGGCCCTTCATATGGTTCTAACATTTTTATAATTCCAAGCAAAACCAAGGTAGAATAAAATGCACATTATTTTAAATTTGCAAAATTTTTATTTAATCAAGAAGAAAAAGCTTAATTAATTTAATTTTGTTTCGAACAGAAATCGTAATTCTTTTCAAGTCTATGATTTTTTTTAATTGACATAAAATTGATTTAAACTTTTACCACAAAATACTACATCGAACAAAAAAAACCGCGGAAAATAATGTTAAATTGTCAGCACCTTTGAAATTATCCGCAATTTTCTAATTTTTTTTTCTCCTTTTTGATGCTGTTAAAGTTATTTGGATGAAATCCAGATAAAACATACCTTAAAATATTTATTAATGTAGTATGTAGTTTTATAAGAAAAGTGCAAAAGTAAAACTCTTCAAAGTAAAATTTGTTTTTTTTTTTTTTTGTAATTTTTTTCTGGTTTTATAGAATGCGGAAAATTTTTTATAACATTAATAAAGCGTGAAAATAAAAATTAATTTGTGGTATTTTTATAATAAAATTTTTTGGAATATTAATACTTAATTGAATACACTTTAGATTCAACTGCTTATATTTATCAAGTTATTGTTTTTAATAAAAAATATTGAAGCCTATATGTTCTCTATATAGGCTTTAATATTATATATCTAACTATACACATGTTCGTCTTCGTAATTCTCATTAACACTTTGACTCGTTTAAGATATCCATAATTCAGAATTTCAGTAATAACAGTTGTGGTTACGGGATTATATGTATGAAAATGAGCATTAAAACTTTAATGTAGTACGAAAACAAAATCAAACATTCTTATAAATCAAACATACTTTTCAATCAAACATCATAACACAAACCATAATACAAAGATAATTTTATTTGTTGCGCTATTAAGAAAATACTAAAGTTTCCAGTATGACTAAATCATAATTATTTCCGGTATATGTTTTGTTTTCTTTTTATAATGTATATTAAAAAAATTCTTTGGAAAATTATTTTTAAAAATATTAATTAATAAAAATTTTTGTTTGAACGAAAAGAAAGTAAATTTTTTTTAACATAAGTGCAAATAAAATTTTTTTTGATAAAGATAACTGCAGCAGATCTCTATTTTGAAAAAAAAAACTAAATTTGACATATTAAGTGAAGCTGACGCTCTTATTGCAGAAATTAATATTTGTCATACTGATTGTTTAAACTACTATTTAGATTAGAGTTGCAATGTAATTTCAATTCTAACGAAACCAGTTTAGGTTATGGTACCCGGATCTCTTTTTTCCTTCATTTGAATCAGGAACTTCTACAGAAATCGTTAAAGGGGGGCGGCCCATTCTACTTGCATGTTTGCCAATGACCCTTCAGAACCTCTATTATAGCACAGATATCCTGTCGTCATAATTCCATGACAAAGAAAGTATACAGATGGAATCATACAACCTTGAGTAACTTTTTTTTTCTCAAAACGATTCTTTTTTTCCTCAAACAATATATGTAAATTGTCTCCAACTTTGTCTAAAATTAACAAATTTTTTTATTCGTTTGTGGGAGTTTAATAAAATTTTCTTTTCATATTACATTAACACTTTTGTCCTGTTGTAAATTCTTTAAAGTTTAATGACCTATGTTACACAAAATTTGAACTTATTATAGGTTATAATTATTTTAAAAAAATTATTTTCGAACGCAATGTACTTTTTATTGTAGACATTTACATACATACATATATATCTGCACCTATACGAATATCACAAAATTTGCTCATCATTTTAACACAATTTCTTTTATAAACAAAATATTATAAGATAAATATATTTTCGAATATTTGACAATGATGAATATCGCCTGTCAAAAAACAAAATTAATCTAAAAAAAATGTGTTTATTATATTTGAATATCTGCCAATAATTTCAACAAAGAAAATGGACTTCATCACAAAGATTCACAATAATTGATTAATGTTTTTTTTTTTTGCATTTTGCGTGCAAAACAAATTTGTACCTAAGTTCTACTCGGCTGCATATTAAAAAAATTTTACGTAAAGTACAAAATTATTGTTGGGAGTAATATGTAAACATAAATAACTTTTTTTTCGCATAAAAAAATTTTCCTACTCAAAAAAATAAAACCATATCTATAATGCTCTACCAAGTGTTGTCCATTAAAAACCGCATTTTCGCAACCATCAATAAATTTTAGACATTAATTTTATATGCAGGTCTTTCGGAAAAAATAAAAATAATAGAAAACACAAAATATAATTTAACATTTAATTTATGAAAATCTGCGAGAAATTTTAGTGTTTTTTAGAATTTATTTTTAGAAATATAGAACTTAAGAAAATCTGAATACAGACGATTGTTAAAAGAAAAATATTATTTACAATAAAATTAAAATTATCAGTGGGCGAACGTCACGGCGGCGGAACAAATTTATTTTCTCACTTTGTACATTGGCTCTGAGTTCTCAATGCTCTCTATGTATAAGAGTAAATTAGTTTTATTGTATAGCTGTACCTATATACATATACAATGCGATTCACAATAATATGCTGAATTGAACAGCAAGAGAATTCTACAAATTTTTTAGAATATAAATATTATTATTTAGTTAACCGTTGATTGTAGAACATCATATAAGAAAACGCTGTACAAACATTTTAGAATACAATTTAAAAAAATTAATTTTTGTTTTCTGATTTGCTCTCCTATATAATAAATGAATTGACGTAATTACAGTAATAAAAATTTTAATAAAAACAAAAAAGTTTTCCGAAATACAGAACAATAGAAAAAATTAAAAATAAAATTATTAGATATATTTAAACAAAAAGTGAACTAAAACCCAAAAAAATTGAATAAAAATGTCGTTCCGCGCACGTACTCGGACGGCACCGATTGCCCCTCCAACAAGAAGACGATCATTATCTAGTTCAAGAGTTGGTACATCATCTACATCAAATTCTTATACAACTCCATCATCATATTATCCATCATCGTATTCAAATTATTATCCATCATCTTCAACATCTGGTAGCTCTTCATCATACTATCAGAGCCCTTATGCTGGAATGTATAGTTCAAATAGTAGTTTATATGGAAATTCATTAAGAAATAGTTATTATCCAAATAGTAGTAGCAGTAGCTACTATAATCATGGTGGTACTAATTCATATACAAGTGATAGATATATAAGCCCATATAGTAATTATGAAAATGGTATTACAACAGCTGGTTTAAGTTTAAAAGGTTATTCATCAAAATCACATAATGGTAGTAATAGTATTAGCACAAGTAGTATAAATCCAACAAATTCATTAAGTCAATCGGCATCATCAACATCATTAGCATCATCATATGGATCGAATAAATCGACTGTCGGAACAAATACACCTTCTGTATCAATTGTTAATCGAAGTCATTCATTACGTGATCAAGAACGTAAGAGTCGTACTCGAACACGGCAACGAACTATAGCTCAAAGATCGACAAGTGCATCATCCGAAAAAAGTGAAGGATATGAAGTAAGAAATCTGAAGAAAGTGCTTTGAAATTTGAACAGTCTTATAATTTTGTGTTCCTTAAACGCTATATTCTTTATTTAAAAAAAAAGATTTTTTATATATTTAATTTCTTTTTATTTATATTTTTATTGTATGCTTATGTGAATTTTTAATTTTCAGAGCGGTACAGATAGGACGTCTCGTTCTCGATTAACAAATTCAACAAATTCTTTAGCAGATAGTGAAACTGGTGATAGTAAAACTAAGGACTCGAATGGTGAAATTATTGACTATAAAGCATTATGGGAAGCTGAAAAGTAAGCTTTAATTTTTAAATAACTATACGAAACGGTTTACAGCATTCTTTGCGGGGCCTTTAAATAATCAAAAATGAAAAAAATATTGAGAATAGCACGGAATAACAGGAAAATTTTCATAAAAATATTGTCGAAGCCTTATAAGCTCAAAGCCAGTTTGTCAGTCCATAGAATTTCGGTTATTGTAAATTATATTCACCCTAATTAAGCGCAAATGTACAGTTACTTAAGAGCATCTGCGGTGGAATTTTGAGAGTTATTGTGTGTCAAGCCTTGTATGTGGCCTCACTTTATCACGGGAGATTAAATATGTCAAATGGTATATAAGAAATCAAAAGATATCCTTGCCTAAGGTCGCGGTGCATTGTTTACCTTTAATTACCATCTACAATTTATGTTTATTAATTGACAATACAATTTAAAATATAAAAATAACTTGAACATTTTTATAATGTTTATTATTAAAAATTTTTTAGGTTAGAGAACGATAAACTTAGAAAAGAATTAAAAACAAAATCTGAAGAATTAAATACAACCAAAACAGCCTTAGACAAGCAATCAAATTCGGTAAGTTTTTTCCTAACATATTTTATCAATAAATTAAGTTAATTAAAATTTTATTTTGACATAAAGAAAAGTTTGGTATTAAGGCAAGATTAGCTAAACTGCCTAATTTTATTTTGACATAAAAGTTTGGTACTCTTAGAGAGGATTATAGCTGATCTGCTTATCTCATTTAAATTTCACAGGTTTATTCAGAGAAGTACGTCATTATCCACAAAATATTTATTTTTAAATTTCTTACAAAAATTATTATCATGGACTCAAACCAATCTACAAATATGATTCGTTTGTACGATAAATTAATTTAATGCTCAATTTACGGAAGAGATCGATGATGATGCACTTCTCAAATAAATTTTCCTATTATCCTTTCGTAGAATATTTTATATATCACATTTAAATTTTTTGGTAATTATAAAATATTAATTGCAGGCATCGAAAAATACTCAATTGTCAGAACTTGATAAACGTGAAAAACGAGCTTTAGAGCGTAAAATATCCGAAATGGAAGAGGAACTTAAGGTAAGAATTAAAATATTGCTGCCTCTTTAAGTAAAGAAAATACTAAAAAATCAAAGAAAAAAAAAAGAAAATAAAGCTTCCTTTTTTTTTGTTTTGGTAAAACAAGCAAAAACCATTTTAGTGATTTTTGTGTAAAAAAAACAGAAGAAAATCACCAATTTATCACAAATTAATTCCTGTTTTAAATTTTTTATTTTTCTTAATTATTATTTAACTTAATTTATTTTTGTTCCTTAATGTTTTTTAACACGTTCACAAGCATTTTTTTTTACGTACAAAAGATGTTTGTTCTTCGATTTATTTAAAAAATTAAATTATTTTAAATTCAGTAATATTTTCTGCTAAAAGTTAATTTTATTTCTATATTTTATTTACCAGCAAAGCTTTAAAATAACGTTCAATATAATTATGATCACAAGTTAAAAAAAAAAAGTTTGTTATTTTAATGTTTTTTTTTCATTTTTAATTTTCTTTTAAGAATTTTATTGAATCATACACAGATACTTAAAATTAAAAACTGTAATAAACCATAAACTTTAAACAAAAAACATAACAAAAGCAGAACAAAATATTATCAAAATTTATTTTAGAGGTCTAAGTCCCCCTATTGAAAACTCTTAATATTTGCTAAATTCTAAAATTTTATTTTTCAATTCTACAATACAATCAAAAATACGTTTTCCTAAAATAAATGTACTTGGAAAAGCCCTTCCTTAGATTATTTCAATTAAAAATTCCGAAATAACAAAATATTTCGTATTACTGTAATATTAGTTCTTGTTTGAACTAATGATTTTCATATTAGTTCTTCCTCACAAAATTTACTACCAACACTTAAAAAAGGACTAAGGCCTTAAAAAATAGCGATAACCTAGAGTTCAAGATCGAGCTCATATTTTTTTTTCAAATTCAATAATCTGTTATATTGCTCTGTTATATTTTGCCCTGCATATTATTATTCATTACTTCTGCTGTTGATATTATTCAAATACCGAAATAAATTAAAATTTTTTGATTCACATTTTTATTTCTTTACTCGACGAAAGCTTTTGAACTCAACTCTGTAAAAAATTTCTTTGTTTTTTGATTCCTTATAGCATAACAAAATTTTTTTTAATATATATGTCTATTTTTTTTTGTTTTAGCCCCTAGTACGAGTTTAGTCAAATGAAAAATAATAATGTAATTTTCTAAAATTATAAAACGTCATTTGTTTTTGACAAAACAACTCACTTTTATATCGGGATTAAAATTTTATCATACGAAATAAATCGCTCTCACTATTTTGTTTCTTGAATTTTTATTTTTCAGAAACTTATATTAATTCTGAAAGTAAACAAAGCAAAGTTCTTTCCGCAATTAAAGAATGTCAAAAAGTAGGGAAGAAATAATATAGAGTTTTTCAAACTCTATAATATTTCAGTTTTTGACAATATTAGACCTAGAAATCGATTATTTTTTAAACTATAGTGTTTTGTTTTATCACTTAATATTCAAAAGTAGGTGTCAAATAATGAAACAATGTACGTGCTAGGGGCTGAAACTTATACATAACATTAACTAACTGATAAATATTAAACAAAACAAATATATTTTGTGTTTTTGAGGCTCCCTTATGCTTTTAAAACTTATTTGGAATAACCAAGTAAAATTAAAGAATAAATAAATAAATTTTTGAAACACAATAAGACAGCAACGAAGTTTCAAACAAAAAAATAAATATAAAATTAAATATTTTTCAATAAAAATTTAATGTGAACGCTCTAGATTTCTGATTTAACTTAAAAATTATTAATATTCGTAGACTTTAAATATGACTACGACAGTTGCAATTAAAATGATAATAATGTATTGCGTTTTGTTTTTAAATTTTCATGTAAATACTGCATTTTTCCCGGATTTTTGACATTTTTTTTTAAATGTTAAGTATTAAATTAAATAATTAAATAAATTTTATTTATTTTGTTTTAAGATGAACAACTATTGGATAAAAAGGAAGTAGACTAAAATGTCTTATGCAATTTATAGACAATTTTGAATTTTTCGCATAGTTTTGGGTCCTATAAAACAATTAGGCCCACAATATCGCACCATACCAATCTTATGCATTTAAGTCGAAAATGACATTTCCACTTCTCTTTTAAGATTAACCATTTACAACCCAGACGCACATTTATATCTTTGCCATTATAAATTAAATATAAAATTTAAATTCTAACGAAATGCTTCCAGCTTTCTGAAACTTATTGTTTTATTGTTGTTCTTAAGTCTAAAAGGATTCGGCCGGGCTATTAATTATAAGAATTAGTGGTGCACAAGCCGAATTTTTGTATTCAAAATTTATATTGTTGCTGTTTTATACAATGTTTCAAAATAATAATAACAATATGATGAAATATTTTTAATTCAACGAAAACTTTTATAAAACTAAACTAATAAGTGCCCTTGTTCTCTATATTTTATTTTATGCAACAAAATATAATTTGCACACATTTTTTTACTTTGTTTTTTTTTCCATAATTTTAAAATACTATTTTTTTGCATTTTAAAATTACAAGAATAAAACAAGCAAATATAAATTTTCGTTCTATTTTATAAAATTTTACACCAATAAAAAAAATCGAATACTCGTAAAACATTTATTTATATTTTTGTTTTTACGTTTGAACACAAGGAAAAAAGAAAAAACTTAATTTTTACAATATATTTAATATTTTACAAATTTTCATAGATGATTTGAACAAAATCAAATTCTTTGGCGGATTTTTTATTACAAGAAATCTTTAAAATACATTTTTTCCATCATTTTACACAACATATTCGAAATTTCAAATTCAAAATTTCATATTCGAAATTTCATTTTCGAAATTTATTCGAAATTCATTTGAAATTAAATTACAATTCTAATCGTTAATAAAAATTTTTTTTAATTTTTTCATATACAATTGTAATTAAATTGAAAAATGATTTAAATACGATGTATAACACTTATTTAAAACAAAAAAAAAAGATTTTTTTTGTCATGTTATATCAAATTTATTAAATGTCATATTATTTGATTATTAAAACATTTGAGACCTGTCATTATTGTTTTTATCAGTCACTTTTCAGTAAATCTCTGATTCATTTTTGGTGTCATTTATTAAAAAATAAACTGTCAAAAATAGTCGGTACAACTGTTTGTCATTCATTCATTTTGCGCTTGGTGAAAGGTAGTTTGCGCCAATTATTCTTTTCATTCATTTTATGACAATGATGACAGGGGCCATCAATTCTCAAATTTTATGATTAATATAAATATGTATAAAAAAATTCATCTAAAATCATCAAAATTTCATAATGTTATTCTGATACATCCTGAAAGTATGGTACTTCTTCATTTGTATACAATATGACAATAAAATACATATCGCACAATTGTTATGTCAGATTTTATGAAACAGTCACGTCACACAATTTCATTAAAACGCATATTGTTTTAAAACTTTGTTTCATATTTTATTTTTAAATATCGATTTGAAAATTTTCATCCAAATATTATTAGTATTCATAGATTCAATGTTTTAAATGGAATAAAAGTGATAGATCAATTTTTACAATTATTTACTTTGAAAAAGAAAAAGAATATCGAACTAAATACCGTAAATAAATTAATGATAATGTAAATAACAATTTGTTTATTTATAAAATTTTAATGCTATTAATTTAAAACAAAGCTTTACAATCTTTAAAAAAACAGAATTGAAAACCAACAATAATTTTAATTTAAAACATATTTTTCCACCATTTTTTTTTTGTTTTCTCACTGTACCCGTAAATTCATTAATTTTTATTAAGAATTGCAGACAAAATAAGTTTTTTTTATTATTGTTCAAAATCAATTATTTCGAAAAAATTTTTGTTGTCAACAGATGTTTGTAGACATTTTTAGTATACCTGATAATGCAAAAAACAAAAAATATTACGTAATTAATAATGTCAATTATATGTCGTATTGTTAACATTTTTTGGTATGTTTATAAAAAAAAAAAATTCAACTGCTGTTTTTGATTTTTGTGCAACTTGGCAAATTTTGAAGAGGACAATAATTTTATTCAATGAAATTTACTTCTAGAAATATTCAAATCAAAAATAATTTTTCCCTAAAGCAGTTGATTGCATGCAAAAGTTGTATACGAAAGTTTGCATAAATATTGTCGATTACCGGTTGAGGACCGTCAAATGCAACGAACGCCTTTTGACATTATCGATTACACCTTTTAATTAATGATCTATTCATATGAATAGCTAAAATAAAAATTTATTTTGTCTGAAATTTAAATCATATATCAAATTTGATTTTCATTGTAAATTTTTAAAATTTGATTCATAAATAAACAAGAAAAATGCATTTATTATACAATAAAAATTATCATTATAAAAATTTCATTATTAAATTATATTATATTTTAATTTTATGTCGTGATTAGTCAAAAAACATTTTTTGTTCATCCTTTAAATTTATAATTACTTATATATAAAAAAAAAAACAGACAATTATTAATCACAATTCATCATCACTCATATGTTTCACAATTCGTCAGCCAGCCAGTCAGTCATAGTCAATCAGTCATTCATTTAAAAATCATTAGCCAATTTTTTTATTAGTTTGTTTTTAAATTTTTATTGTTAAATTTTTATTTTAAATCATCCATTTCATTCGTGAAACCGAAAATTTTAATTATTTTAATTTACAAATTTAAATAAATTAAAAAAAAAAAATCATTGAAACAAAATTTAATTGACAAAATAAATTATTAAAAAAAAAAAAATTAAATAAATAAAATAAATACATAATTTCATTGTTTTTTTTTTCTTTTATTTTTTTATTATTATTTTCTTTTTTCTTTTATATATTTATTATATAATCATCAATCTAGCTAATGCAGAAGTTAAAGGCCGAAAATGAACGTTTAAGAGCCGAAAATCGTGCTTTAACTCGTGTTGTATCAAAGCTTACAACATCAGCACAAAATCAACTTCACAATAAAAAACAATAAAAAAAGAAAATAATCAAAAACTAGAATTTGTTTAATGAAAAAAAAAAATCGTTATTAGTTTGGCTAACAATCACATATAAATAATTTATATATATATATATGTATATAAATATGTATATATTTAAATTTGACTTAGAACTATGTGGTATATAAATAACCAATATACATTTATATACTATTATTTATTATAAAAATGTAAACCGTTAAATTAATAATCTACATACACAAATATAATAGTTTACATCGGAAATATTATATATAAATTAAAAAAAAATAATAATAATAATCGAAAATATTAAAAACGAAACTTAAATATCACGTGAAAACTGCTATTACTACATATAATTTTATTAAATTTATATTATATTACATAATATACAAATATTTTCTATAAATTTAACATTATTCATAAATTAGTAAATATGATGATGATAATTAATTAAAAATTTACAATAAAATTTCTTAAAATAAAAAAAAAATGAATTTTCATACAGTGTTTATTAATTAAAATTACAAAAAAAAAAATACTTCTTATATTAAAATATACAAAAAAAATTACAATATTTATCTGAATTATTATAAAAGTTACGGGAAAAAAACAAACGAATAAAATATAATTAATATTTTAATTTTATAAATTATACATAAAAATTTTTTAAACTTAAAAATAATGGCATATTAAAATATAAAACATAATTTATATTAGTAAATTAAAGTTATATATAAAATATAACATTGTAGAACAATTTCTCTCTATTCTTCTCTGGATGTGAAAAACTCTAAAAAAAAAAAGTTAAAAATTAATTTAAATGAATAAAAATAATAAAAAAATCTAATGTTACATAATCCTTTTTTGAATCGGGAGGTCTGAGTTTTCGTTTTTGGTAAATAAGGTTCCGGTATGAATGACGTTACTTTATATAACACTTTGTTGCCTATTTATTATATAATTAAATTCTTTTATTTTTATATTTTTCTAATTAAAAAAGAATTAATTGTTTTTTTTTTCTTTTTGTTTAAATGTTGTTTTTGAAGTTTTGTTTCATAATTCTCTATTTTCACTTAAATCTTACTAGCTAAATACTTCTTAATTATCTTCTTAATTAGAACAAAATTTTTCAATTCTAATCAAAATTAATTTCATAAACGTGTTTCATGTTTATATAAATGTTGTTTTAATTTTCTTTGGTTTTTAAAATATTAAAAATCCTTAATCGATTTTTTTTTCAATTATTCAATTCATAGATTTTCTATTAATTTTTGTAAGTATGGATGAAAATATTTACAAAAATTTTATCTATATTTTGATATCTCTTCCTTTTGTTTACTCATACTTATTGTGAAATGAAGAATAATTAAACTAAATTTGTTTTCTATAATTTATGCCTCCCATCCATTATTCAAGTTGGTCGTTCAACACGTTGATTCCACATTATTCCAATTTCTTTAAAACTACAAGTTTACTTTTATACAACATACAAAGTAATGCCGCCAAAAATTAAAATTTTTTAATAGTATCTTCAACCAAGTTTCAACCATCAAATGGTTGATCAGTCCATTAATGATTTAACGTGTTGAAAATTTGCTATGTATTCAACGTGATGAGAAGCCAAGTTAAATATTGGATGGACAGCATTATATTCGTACATAATTATATTTAAAATAATTGTTTTGCGATTTTTGTTTTCTTTTTACTGTCTGAATGAAATTTTAATTGCACTTAAGTGGTAACCAAGGTATACAAACTTCATTATATTAGTGTTGTAATTTAATATTTCATATATTAGCAAAATATTTTCTATATCCATGTGATAAGAGCAAAAGTAATCTAAAATAAAAGAAAAATAAATTAATTAAGTATGCATATTGCACTTTTTCACATCACATACATAATTTAGTGTTACAATATTGCATTAATTTTCATCTACAAATTACCAATATTAAACCAAAGAGCACCAATATTGTTAATATGATTTTTTTAGATTATCAATTTTGAATTATGTACTCCAAATGTTTCAATTCTCCTCATAATTAGTCCTCATATTGTATCTTTGTAGAAAAGAAATTTTACAAGCACCCACATACATACTGTAATAATAAAAAAAAAATTATAATGGTCATCATGAATATTTAATTTAATGAAAAAAAAAGTTTCTTCACACCTTTTTCCCAAAATAATTTAAAAATATTAAAAATTTTTATTCTGTAAAATTTATATTGTTATTTGCTAACGTGATCGAACAGGACTAAATTTGAAATAAAAATGAAATGTCAATCGTTATACTCGAGAGAGAAAGCAACCAGTAAAATTATTTTGCTCATTTGTTACAAGAGTGACCTAACTCAAAAAAATACGGTATCTGAATTATTATTATTATTGTTATCACTCAAAACATTTTTTTTTTTGCAAAAATGCCAATTTTGTCAACCTTACAAATTGTCGCTTACAATATATTTTAAAGAGAATGCTATAACGAGAAAAAAATATTAACTCCAAAATTATAACTACAAATTTTGATTTTTTCAATAATGTGAATTGTGAGTTATATCAGTGTAAGTGTTGTAGCAGTGACATTGTCGTTTATAAAAATGAAAAACTTCACAATATTGCCGCTTACTTCTTATTTCGTACCACAGTTTAAAAAATAATTTACTATTTCTGTCAAAATTTATTTTAATTAAGTTTGAATTTACTTTAACTAAAAAAATTAATTTTTTCTCCATTTGAAAATGTAATAAAATATTTTCAATATTCTACTTTGGTTACCAAAACTAATAAAAACAAAATTATGCTAATTTGAAAGCAATTAAAATAATTTTAATAACGAAAAACTATTTTTGTTTTATTAAATAAACAAAAATAAAATAAAATTTAATATTTTATAATAATAAATGTTTTGTCGTCAATATTAATTGTAATAAAATATATCTATGTCTAAAAAATGTGTGCAATTTATTAAAATTTAAAAAAAAACGCCCAAGCTAAATTAAAAAAAAAAAAAACTACCTATTAAAAAACAGAAAAATTAAAAGGTATGAAATAAATAAACTAACTAGCCGTTAATAATACCGTTATTGTGTTCTATTACAAATAATTACTATATATATTTTGTATATAAAATTATTATGGTTATGTATAATAAAACAATAGTTAATACATTTCGATAAGAGCGATTTAATTTTAATTAAAATTTAGCAACGTTAATAAATTAAGCTATAAAAAAGAAAAATTTTTATTGAAATTAGAATTTTTTTTCCCCACAAATATATCCAAACCCTATCTAAAATCCTTGCCTGATATTCGCCACTAATGCTTATATATACTTGAGTTTTCTTTCATATATATTTTAATATAAAAACATACATAAATACATTGTATGTATATATATAAATTTTATTATAAATGTGTGTTCTTTATAATATATAGAATGTTTTAAATAAGTTAATTAAAATATTAAAAAATTATTTTATTATCAAATTTGTAAATATTTTTTTTAAAAAAATATTTTTATTTATTGTTGTTGTTATATTGTACTTGTTCTTATTTTTATTATATAATATTTATGAGCATATTATTATTGTAATTTGTTCTAAATTTATTTCGAATTTGTAAAATTTACGCTCTTCTGTAATAAATAAGTCAAATTCGCGGTCTTCTGTAATAAATGAGTCAAATTCGCGCTCTTCTGTAATAAATAAGTCAAATTCACGGTCTTCTGTAATAAATGAGTCAAATTCGCGCTCTTCTGTAATAAATAAGTCAAATCCGCTCTCATTTGAAATTAAAAAATTAATACTAGAAATTTTCATAATGCAATACTGCAAAAACATAATGTAATGAATATGATATATATATTTTTAACTGTTCTACAAAATCAAAACAGTTCATATGGTTATACTAATAATTTCGCTGTATTGAGACAAATTATTATTATTAGAAATTAGGTTAATAACATTTGGTTATTAACACAAACATAGCGCAATTTTAGCTATACATTACGATATACTGTGTTTATGAAAGAAATTACGATATACTAACCTACCATATTCAGACTATATAGGCGAATAACATATTTTCCTATTCGTTTAACACGTTATATAGAAAAAATTGATTCACTTTAAATTAGCAATTCGCTGAATATGATAAATAGAGTTTTATCAACGTTCCGTTCGAATCGAAATCCCATCAAAAACAAGTATTACAGATTATTATTGATTTTTCTAAAAAATTGTTTTTGTTAGTTATTGTGTTTCTACTTGATGCAACCAAACAATTTTCTAAATTCTGCAATATTTTTCATTATTTTTTAATTTATCTCGCAATCCTTTAATCTCTAAATGTAAATATACGGTAGTCCTCAAAACCTGAAATTAAGTTTGAGAACCATTTATTAAAAAATTAGAACAAATATTGTTAATTATAAAATCATGCTCATATCTATTATTTTGTAAAGCAAATTTTTTTACCTTTGTTTAATTGTTTTTTTTTTAGAAAATTTAAATGCAAAATATTTCCACCTTGTTTTTTCAGCAAAGCATATTTAAAAAAAATATATATATTTTATTGATGTTTTTTAATTGTTTTCTCGATTTACTATGAGGACTTATACCTACCTATATATTGTTTGTCAGATCATTAAAAACAAAATTTTTATTTGTGCTTTAAAAAATCGAAAAAATTTAAAAGTTTTGAGTGGGCATTTTTATTAAATAATGTGTTACTTAACATTTATTTCCCCCCCCCCCCCCCCCCAAAACAAAATTAATCATATTTTTATTTTTTCCAGCTTTGTTTTAGTGCTTCATTAATAAATTTTTAATTTTTAAAAAATAAAAAAAATTTTATATTTTTCCTAATTAATTTTTATTTTCTTAATTAATTTCAGCAATTGGATTTCCTTAAAACCGAAAATCAACGCCTTAAAGAAGAGAATGGCGCTCTAATAAGAGTAATTAGTAAATTAAGTAAATAAACACTTAAAAAGTTTTAATATTAATAATAAATTACACAATGTAAAACAAGAGAAAAAATAATGCAAAATTTCACTTGAAAACAAAAAAAAAAAATGTTAATTGTAATGTTTAAATTAATTTCTAAATGAAAAATTATATTATATAATAAATACCATTGTATCCTTTTGTAGTTAAAGAAGATTTCCTTAATTTTTAATTATTTTTTTTTTTTTTCATAGATAGTTTTTAAATTATAATTTTTACACGATTTTTAAAATTGTTTGTTTTCCGTTTCATTTTTTTCTTTTCAAACTTTCATATTATATACATTATATACATATTTATATATATATATATTTTTTTTAATTTCAATTGAAATAAGAGATTAATATTTTTTATTAAATATAATATTTAATCAGAAATATCAAAATCACTATAATTGTAGTTAAATGAATAAATCAAAAATAAATAAAATAGACATATATAGAAATACAAAATTAGTTTTGATATTAATTTTAAATATGTATTGTTAATTAAATACTTGTGAATGACATAAAATAGCATTAATTAATTAATTAAAGAGCTTAAAAATATATAAAAACTTAAATATATTAAATGAGATCGCAATTACTATAGAACATAAAAAATTATCATAATTAAATAAAGTGAAAAAAAAAAACAATTATTAAATTCTATTTCAAACATTGTAGCTTATTCTGAATATCAAATTACATATTTAGTGATAGTGATAAATATCGTAAAAATTTCGACATTATTATTGTAAACACAAACCAAATAATATAAATGATTCACGTCTATAATAATATTTTTCAGGCTTTTACGATAAATGTTACTATCATTTAGTGATTCGATACTCCAGAATAAGTTTCATTATATATTTTTGATTTTATCTTAATAGACTAAAAATTCTATATTCCCCTATATATTCTACATATAAATATATTAATATATTATTAGATGAACAAAAAAACTCATATATAAAATTTAATAAAATTTAATTAAAAACAATTGAATTTAATAATTAATATATTTAAATAATTATGTAGTTTAGAAAAAAAAAAAAAAAAATGATTATGCGAATGGTTTTTAAATTAAAAATGTACAAAAAATAAAAGCTATTATACTGCATATTATTATTAATACATAATTAAAAACTAGTAAAATAAATGTTTTGATCATATAAGTGATTCCTTGTTAACATAATATTAATTGTAGTAGAAATTAATGCGATCCATTAAAAAAACAAAGTTATTGAAAAAAAAAATTTACAAAAATATTAATTTATATAAAATATAATTATAAATTTTTATAATTTTATTTTATATTTATTTTAATATAATAACGAATGTATACACATTAAATTTTTAAAAGATTTGAAATTTTTTAATATTATATTTTATGTTTTTTATACTATATAACAATTATAATCCTATGCAGAAGACAATTTTTGTAATTACACAAAAATCTTCTTTTTTGAGAGGCGCTAGTAATTATTAAGTTTTTTAATTTAAAACAGCGCTACTCAAAAAAAAGTAGTTCTCTTGTGTAATTACAAAAATTGTGTTCTGTATATCACAATAAATTATTTAAATAATGCTATAATTCAAAAATATTCTATATGAATTTTTTATATATTAAAAAATAAAAACTTTTTTTTATAAAACAATTTTAATTTTTACTAATGCTATATTAAAAAATAATTTGATTAATCATTATAACTTTGTTTTTAATTCTAATTATTTAAATAATATCACAAAAAAATATATGTAATGCTATTTTAAATTATTCTATGTATTTAAAATAAAATAGAAAAAAAAATAAACCACTAATAGATATTTTCAATGTTTATTTCCAAGAAAATACTACGAGTATTAAGTGGAAACGAACGATTTATAAAAACAATACAATTTATTAAAAATTTTTTAAAAATATCACACATAAATTTCATATGAATACAAAAATAAAATTACGAATCATTTATTTAATTATTACCTCAAAACTAATTTAACAAAAAAATTAATATGTTTATAAAATAGCGTGAAAATTTATTAAACAAAAACTAAAATATTATTAGAACAATGAAATTGTTAAAAAAAATATATATATATATAATTTAAATAATTATTATTAATTAAAAAAAATAAAAAGAAAATTAAATTAAGAAGAATAAGAAAATTTTGTTCATTGATGTTCTTTTTTAGAAATACAATAAAAAAAAAAAAAAAAAACAAAAATAAAAGAGAGAAAATTAAAAAATGAAATATAGTGAAAATTTTGTTAATAAGATTTTTCAAATTATATATTTAAATTTTAATTTAAAAAAAAGAAGGAGAAAAAATAAATAATAATTAAACCATGAAAAAATTAATTAAAAATTATTATAAAAGAAAATAATTTTTCAGTTTTTATAAAAAAATTATAGAAATTTTCAATTCAATTGTTAAATATGTTACTAAAAATTTAAAAATTAAATTAAAAAATAATATTAAAAATGAAAAAATAGATAAACTGTAGAAAAACAAAGGAAATATTTTTTAAGAAATCTTTTGAATTTTTTTATGTTTTTTAATTTTTTACTCCTTTTGTAAGTTTTTAATTATGTATTAAAAAAATTTTCTTATTACAGTTTTATTATTACAATTTTTTTTTGCCTATTATTACAACATTTTATTTATTGAACAATCAAAAAGTTTTTTTAAATCTTAAATTTTATATTTTTAATATTTCTTATTAATTAAGGAAATTTAATCAAAACAAATAATTAATAAATGATAAAATACATAAAAACAATTTTAATTTAAATACTATTTATTTCTTATATTTTTCAATTTCCAAAATTATTCAAAATAATATGTTTTGCTAATCAACATTATATCCTGAAAAATTAAGAAAACTTTATAAAAATTAAATTGAAATTATCATCAAATTATTAAATTTTGATTCTATTTTATATAACAGTTCAGTTCAGATTGTTTTACGATAGTTCAGTTCTAATATTATTTTAATAAAAAAGCTAGATTAGATAAATCTAGACTGCAAACGCTCTCATTTTCAAATATGCTAAAGTAGTTTCAAGTTCTTAAGAAATTTTTCATAACTACTGCAAAAATATTATAAATTGGAAGAAGAACATATTAGAAAAATTTTGGATATTAAAGAATTAGCCGAGTATGTTATAAAATTTGCAAAAGTAAAAATGTTCAGTATTTGAAAATTTGTAAGTAAATGCAAAAAGACTTTAAAGATTTAATTTAGAAATTTTACTGCATATCTAAATTATCAAAAATTCCCAATTCTTAATAAAATTTTATTAAAATTAATATTTAATTTTATAAAACAATATTGTATTTAATGTTTATTTATTTACAATTACCATTACAAATTGTAAAATATTTATAAATTACATAATTTCGTTTTTGTAATTAATTTTCTATTCATATAAATGAAAGTAGTCATTCAGTTAAAATTAATATGAACAATTTTCAAATTTTCAATTAACAATATTAAATTAAAGATCTCAATGTTTCAATTTATGTTCATAAATATTATAAATAGTTAAAAAAAAAAATTGATTTCCCGTGTCGAATATGTTTTTTTAAATAATTTTCAAATTTTAATAATTTTCAAAGGAAATTTGTTTTTTTTTTTTTAAATTTATTCATATTTTTTATTTCCATAAATTTATTTCGCATAAATTCTTTTCCAAAATAGAAATCAAAAACGATTTTTTTTTAAAAAAAATAATTATTCTTCTAATAATAAAGAGTAAAAGTAATGATAAATGGATTGAATTTTAAAATTTTTCTAAATTAAATTTTTGCAAATGGGTAATAATAATTGAGAGCTTTTTTATAAGACCTTTTGTATATATGTATAAATTTTTTTATAATATCTCATTTCTAAATTTTTTTGTTTGAAAAATATTTTTTTTTACATTTATTGATTTAAAAGTCCATACATACTTAATTCATTATGAAAAATTTTATTAATTAAATGGTTTTTGATGCTTGCCGCAAATTTTCACGCAAAACTTTTATAAAATTAACCATGAAAATAAGGGGATTTTTTGTTTTGCATATACTGTTTGATATTGCAGTTTAGAAATTAAAGTTCTCAAGTTGTAGCTTGTATAAACGAAAACCCCCCCTAAAAAATTTTCTATAAAATATTTTCGCCAATAAAAAAACACAAATTCCAAAATGTTAAAATATTTATTAACTGTTTGATATTTACAAATGCCGTTTATGTATTATTCTTATATTTTGTTTTTAAAATATAAAATTTTAATTATAAATAACTTTAAGTTTGCTAATTTTGCATTTTAGTTTATCAATTTTACCTTCTTGCATTTCATAATTTTTTTTTGTATAACGTTTTTGAAAATTTTATTAGCGTCCTTAATAAACAAAATATTGCATTTTTTTTTTTTATTTTTTGTAATTTTCTTTAAAAATTAAAAATTTTCATAATGAATATTAAATAGAGATGAAATTGATTAATTTTCTTAATATTAATAAAATCCTTGTATTTTTATTTTTTATTTTTTTTTTTTTGTTAATATCAAACACAATTTTGTTTTATTATTATTGAATTTAAAGAATGTAATTCTTGAAATTATGAAATATTATTAATTTTACTTTTAGTTATTATACCTAATAAAATAACATACATATAATTATGTGTAAGTCTACAACATTTTATATGTTTTATAAAATATTTAATTTATGTTTAATTATTTAGAAATAAAATTACCTTTATATAAATGCATATATTTGTATTTTTTTTTTGTTTTTAAATTTATTTACTATTTAAAAAAAAAAAACAAAACAAAAAACAAATTATTGATGAAATTTAATGATTATTATTTTTATTTTTACTATATATATTTAAAAATAAGTAAAATAAAATGAGGAAATTAAAGAAGAAATCAGAGTAAAGAAGAAGAATAAAATATGTAAGTTTTGTAATGCTAGCTATTTGAAAAAATGAAAAAAAAAACTAATATTAAAAATTTATAAAATTACATACTCGTATATTTGTATATTAATATTATTATAATTTAAATAAATAAATAATTAAAAAAAAAAAATTATCAACTTTGTAAATCAAAAGTAAGAAAAAAAAAAAACGAAAATCAAGAAGAAAATAGAAAAAAAAAATTTAAAAAGAAAAAAAAAATAAACCATTATAAATATATAATTAAAAATAAATGTATTAATTTTTTTTTTTGGAAATTTGAAAAGATAAATTGCATTTTCAATTAGTTTTTATTTAAGTTTTTACATGCACAGTTTCGGACTGGTAACAGTAAATAGCATTGTTACTGTTGTAATTTATTTACTCTGAACAAATCGTGCCACTCTGATATAATGCTGATCGTGCAACTCTGATATTTAAAAAAAAAATTAGAATACATAGCAAATAGTTTTATTAATTTGATATTTCTTCAATAAATCAATTTGGGAATTTGGCTTGGGCCCCACTTCTAAGCTTCTTTTAAAATACTTAAAAGCTAATATTTCAAGACGGTAAACTATATTGAAATAAAAATATATTCTTGCAGTAATGCGTTATACAAATTTATAATAAACTTTTATCCTTTTACCTTAAATTCAAAATATAAGGGGGATCAGTTCTAACTTAGATCTTTGTATCAAAATTCTACTATAGAAGAACCTATTTAAAAATTTTAGCACTTGTAAAGTTCTAAAACATTTTTTAAAGATTTGTATGTTTCTGAATTATTGAGAATCCTTATATTATGTATATGTACACGTATTACTGAAATATGGTTTTGTTTCGAAAATACTCTCTTGACTTTAATTTCTAAATTAGAATCTATAAAACCTATATATGAAGTTGTTATTACTTGTATCTAAAAGAGATATATGATTTTAATACTTAATTTTGAGAAATTGCAATCACAGAATCGACATTTGGAATATAATCAAAATTTTCTGTTCTAGCTTCTCACAAAACTGAACATAAAATAATTTTTATTTGCAAAAACCTGTTCCAAAAGATCATAGATGATTTCGATGTCAGTTAAAGATATTAAACCATCTTTTGAATTTGTATAACAATAGTAACAAGGCAAAAATTTTAAAGCAAAAATATTTTATTTATAAGCTATCTTGTAGTTGTTTCTTAAACTAATTATTTATCTATTTATGAGGTATGATGACACTTTAAAAATTATTTTAAATTTAAATATAAAATTTTAGTGTTTAATAAATTTGAAAATAAAAAAAATTGAATTCAAACCCTTTCAGGACATGAATTATTACAAATTGTATCACATTGTTGTGTTTTACAATTAAATAAAGTGTCGCCCGGGCAAGGATATACATTTCCACTAAAACCTCCAGCTCTTATAAAACAATATATATATTTTTTACAATCATTTGTTGCAAATTTACCAATTTTTTGTGCAGCATTACATCTTTTAATAACTTCATCTTTTGATGGTAAATTTGTTGGAGGAGTAGGTTTTTCCGGTTTATCTTTTTCACAAAGATACATCTAAAAAATAATTTAAAATGTTATACAATAGACAAATTAATATTAATTTAAAAATTATATTGTATAAATTTTTTTTAAATATAAACTTACATTAGAATTACTACATATTCCATTAATTCCCAATGCACATACTTGATTTTTGGGACATGTGCGATTTAATGAGTAATTAACTTCATCACGTAAACAGAATGCAAATTGTGTTTTACTTATACATGCTATATTCTTACCTTTATCACATATAGAACATTTTGATTCACATGCTGGTGGTTCACGTGTCGAACATATTTCTGGAGAATGAACACAATAACTACCCTGTGGGCAATATAAATTTCCTTCTACTGGTATATCTATTTAAAAAATATTTTTAATTTTGTAGTTATGTATAAGATATTTTGCTATAATTTTTTGTTATAATTTACCACCAGGTTTATTACAATATAAAAATGAATGTTCTCCATTGCATACATGATGTAAATCTTTTATACATTGTGTTGGTGCTGTACATTGAGTAAAGATTCCTTGAAATCTAATAACAACGAATAGGACCTTGAAAATAAGCAAACATTTTTAATGGAAAATAATCGTTTTAAAATAATTCTATTTAAAAATAAAATAAATTGAATTAAAATAAAAATATTTTAAACTAATTTTGAGATTTCAAATTTAAAAATTCAGTTTTGAATATTTTCGCCTATCAAATGTACATAAGCTGAAGCAGTAACTTGCCATATGGCTTGAAAATTGCAGCAATATTGTATTCTTACACAATTCAGCTATTAAAATTTATTATATGAAATGTGAGTTAATATATCGTACCATTGTAATTTTGAGGCCTCACTTAACATTTTTAAAAACGACTGCCTAAAACGCTAAATTTTATATTTATTTACTTCAAGAGAATCAGTTTGACATGTCAATTAATTATCACCCATTCGCTGACAAGCCTAAATTATCTATAGTCATTCCCATTGTCTAGTTGAGTATACTCGTCCTTGGCAGCGAGTGGGTTAAGGTAATATACATTTATAGTTCAATTAACACAAAAAATTGTTCTATTACATGAACATATATAATTTAGATTTCACAACTATGGCCATGAAAGTATGAAAGTTAGCAATTTACTCCCAGGATGCTTAAACTAGGTACTTTCCTAAAAAATTTTTCGTAATATTTTACAAAAAAATATTTAATAAAAAATAAATTACTGGTACTCTTTTCTAATCATAACTATAAAAATATAATGAGGTTATGTAAACACACAAATTTTATCACAATCCTTATCGTGAGCGATGACTTTGCACTATCACGTAAACACAATTATTATGATCTTTTAAATATTATTAAATGGCATGTACAAAACACTATATCCCATAATTAATCCTACAATTCCATTTTTATTAAATAATAAATTAGCCTTTAATGCATAGTTTTTTCTCCAGTTTATATTATTCTGATTTATCGTATATTCCTTTTTTTCCCTTACCGTAAAATAAATTTTTGAATATGATTTCATGTTTTTGTAAAAAAAAAATATCAAACTGTAAAAAGCCTAAAATATTTTCATTAACTAAAATAATTTTAAGCTTTTTTTGGATATTTATATAAAAAAAAAAGTGGAGGCTATACATAAATTACGTTATAAAGATCTTACACTTTTTTATTTAGTGAGGATTTGAAATTCTTCATTTTATATATGTGATCTCAGGCTGCAATTTATTTGTAATTTAACAATAGCACTTTCTATTTCGTAAAAATTCTACGATTTAAATCCCATACATATATAATTCTGTTATAACTAAAGACATCAATCGACAGATTTACATTTCAAGTCAATTTTTTAATTAATTTATTATAGATTTGGGTTTATTTATTTTATAAAATACTGTTTCAAATATAAGAGGATCATTGCACTCATAAAAATCAAATAAAAATATTTCATAAACTTTTATTACTTTGGAATTCTACAATATACTGAAAGAATTTGATTAAATTTGCGGTGGTTGCACTTCAGAAACTAAATTTCACTAGTAAAATAAAGTTGCTCGAAATTATAAAACACTATAATTGCATTTAAGAGATTATAATATTTACTTGATCTTACATAATTTCTGAATTGCAACAATACGAGTATGAGATTTTTAATAAAATTATAGATAAAAAATATTTATTTATTTTTCTTGACTTTCTTATAAATTGTAGTTTTGTGATGCTACGAATATACCTACATTTTTGCATATAGACTCTATATGGTAGAAATAGTGTATATATTTTGAGAAATAATATTAATCTTATCATTAAATAATGTTTAATTTATAATATGATTTATGATGAATTTTTTTTGAGAGATAAATGATAATTTTCTTGAGATAAATTCTATTATTGCAAATTATAAGAAAATATTTACAATAAAACTATGTACGCTTCCATTTTATTCGAAATTTTAAGAATTAAATTTTGCATTGTTTTGTCATGCTCCTATTAAAAATTTGTCATTATACATGCTTTATATAGTATTGAGAATATACTGCTCTCAATAACATTTATTAATTAAATTCTTATAAGCAAGACAATAGAAACCGTATTACTTACAGTAGCTACAGTAGATTTACTATGAATATCGAAATATTTGATGACATACATACATAAAAATAAAATCTAATACACAAAACTTAAATATTAAATCAAATATGGGTATTGAATGTAAAAATTTACCAGAATAACTTCAAACTTCTCTGTATGGATTGTTGTAGCGGACTGTTGTTTCAGTGTTATATTTGTAATTATTTACCAATTTTTGGAATGATATACATATGTCCTATGCAATTTTACTCTCAATGAAAAAACAAACCACTCGATTAAACTGACTTGACAAGACGTCTGAATTTCGATTTTTTTTCTTGCTCACAGAGATTGGTTAAGGTGAAAAACGATTGAGAGTTTGTTTTTTCATGCTCTAAATAAGTTAATATTTTATAAATACATATAAGTTTTCGTAAACGCAGTTTGCAAGTTAAGTTACCGGTATAAAAATGTGTTTTGAGGCACCTCTTTTTCTATGTTTTATGCCAGTTACTGAAATGTACTGCAAATTACCAACACACACTTTATTATTGACTTACATGTATTGTATTAATGTGAAATCAAATATGTTGTAAAGAAATTATAATTTATGATAAGCCTTCTGAAAGAGGAACAGTTATCCCTTGACCTTTTAATGCATACGATAAATCACGTTTAGGCACAGCAATCACTTTAATAAAATAGTAAACTAATCAAGTTAAAAGTCTCCTATAAACATGAACGTATACACACATACATGTAAATTTCATACGAATGTTAGATATCTATACAATTTAAATGCAAAAAGAAAACAATGAGAATGCATTTATGATAGTGCGATTCAACTGCAAAAGAAAATAATAAACAATTTGGTTTCTGAAATCTGATAAGATTTTTAAATTTCTTAATAATCGTACTAAATATTAATATCTTTTTCGAATTAATAATGATTATTACATAAAATTCATAATTATGATAGTATATAAAGGAAAGCTAGACAGAAAAATAAAAATATATTAAAATTTTATATTTGAAATTGACACACGATGAAGATTCTATTAACGGTAAATGGAAATACCAGATTCTTGTTGTAAATTTATTAACAAATATTTTAATTTAAGGTTTTAATTTTATTTTTCAAAACACTTGCGTTAGTTAATGGTGAATGTGACGTTTGTGGAACAGCAAATATTGCATGTGTCAATGCAACTAGTTTTAAAATCTGTGTTAATGGTACAGAATCAAATTTTAATTTTATGTTTTAAAATTTATATTCGAATAATTAAAATTTTGTAGGAGAAATATTTTTGGATCAAACTTTTACTTGCCCAAACAATTTACTGTGCAACCATGGTACATTTACAAATAGTTTAATTTCTAGTTCATACTAAATTGACTTCATATATTTTATAGATGATGAAGAAAGATGTGTTGAAATAGCAAAAGAACCCTCTTGTGCCAGATATTGTGGGTAAAGTAATAATTTTGGTTAAAAATATTTTCAAAACCTATGCGTTTACAAAGTGTTTAAATTTTTTTTTTTTTTGACAGTTCTTGTAACCCTAAAATTAACATAGCTTGTTTGAATCACGAAACATTTTCAATTTGTTTAAACTCGAAACCATCTAATGTAATTGGAAAATGTGAAAATGGTCTTGTTTGCGATACTAGTACTGAAAGGATTTGCGTTAATCCGTTAGAGGTAATTTTACAAAATATAACATTAACAATAAATAGAACGGACCAGACGAATATGAAACAATGTTCCAAATAATATTAAATAAACAGTAATTGCGCAGAATATACATATGTATGTATTTCAAAATGATATAAGTTTGAATTCAAATATTTTAGTTTCTTCATACTGAAGTAAATAAAATTTTCATCACATTTTCTAACATCAATTAACTATTAGCCACATACATATATTAAACAAATTATTCTGCTTAACTTATTTTTAGACATCTTCATGTCCTTTACCATCACCACCTACAAGCAACACAACTGTACTACCGACAACTACAACAGAACCAGAAACAACAATAACAACTACGCAAGAGACCGTAACAGAAAGTGCAGAAGTAACATCAACAACGAGCACAACTACAACGGAAGAAATAACATCAACTACAACTACTTTTAAACCGACTACTGAGGAAATTACTACCAGTAAAACAACGGATGGAGAAACATCCACATTAAGTAGTACAAATGAACCTACGGTATCCACAACTACAGAAATAACAACCACACAGTCTACAACAGAAGAAACAACCACACAATCTACTTCAGAAGAAACTACAACTATGCAATCTACTCCTACAGAAACTACAACTACACAACAAACTACCACAACAGAAGAAACCACAACTGAAGGATGTACTTCTACACCGGAGGAAGAAAATACAACATCAACTACGGCAAGGAACACAACAGAAGAACAAACATCTTCTACAACTGAGATTACAACAACTACAACTACTTTAAAACCTACAACACCACCAAGTGAAGCAACTTTATTTTGTCAACGCATCCAATACGTTGGAAAGTTTTCAAAACCAAACTCATGTAGAAGGTAAATTTTAAGTTCATCAATTAAGTCGCGCTAATTGTTGACACAATAAGTTGATTTTGATTGGATAAACTTTTTATATTTATGATAACTTATGATAACAAATTTTTTTATTGTAGTTATTATCAATGTAAAAAACGAAATGGTGATTTTATTGGAATAGAAAACAGATGTCCACTTTTCATGTCATTCGATTGCAGATTTGGAATTTGTTCTTTCATATGTAATAATTCATGCGGACTTAACCCTTAATTTCAAAATTGTTATTCAGAAATAAATTAAAGATATTGCAAAATAAATTGCTTTCAATTTTTATTTTTTACAATTAAGTAAAAATGTGCTTCTGTAAGGACATGATGCTTCTTCTGTCTTTGCAAAATTTTTGTTGCATGAAATGTTTTAATATAACTGTACTGCAGGAATATAAGCAGAATTGTCAGCCTTTGAACGCGTTATTACGGCATCAATATATTTCAAGCACAATTTTTTCCAGACGTAGTAAAATGCAAATAAGAGCCAACACATCACTTCTTGTACAATTAAATTTGTCAACATAAATAATTCATGTCATTAGCTATTTCACTCTTTCAAATAGTAACCGTTTAATTTGAACTCTTGCAATTTTTTAATTAAAATAAAATCATTAACGGTAAATCCACTGAGTGTTAAAGTAAACGGCAACATCATTTTATTTTTTAAAAATGTTTATAGGGTAGCTGAAATTGCATGGTTGTTAATTTGACAAATGTTAACATTTGACAATTCAAATTTTGTAAAAACTTTTATTGTGGGGGGTTTATTTTTACAAAGTTCTGTACAAATTTTGAAAGAAAAAAATAAAAATTATTTTTTTTTTTTGTAATCAACCTTATAATACTCTTGAAAAAGTTTAACTAAATTATTAGGTAATATTTATTATTTAATTAATATAAAGTACTGAGATTTTTTGTTCAAAATGTAAAAATATTCATAAACAAGAAGAAAAAAATCGATTTTAACAAAAACAAAATTGGGTGGAACATATATGGCACTTCCCAAAATAATGTTAGATTTTCTAACAAACAAATTTTAATCTTAAAAATGTTGGTATAACAAAATAATAGGTAAAATTTCCTAAACTATAGCATATCATAAAATCTAGTGTAAAATTAGAATTAAAAAAAAAAATAACAATTTTTTCTATGAATAATAAAATTTTAATGTATACAGGTACATAGTTACTTATAACATGGTAACATAGGTAAATATATGAATGCATGTAAGTATATAGGTACATGCACATTCTCATTAGAAGGATAGAAATTTATATTTAGAACCAATTTTTGTAATTGTTATATTACAATATAATTGTACAGTTAATTACAATTCGTATAAAACAGAAATATATTTTTCAATTTTATTACGCATCCATTATATTACTATGAATTTTGCAGTTCAAAAGATGCACATACAATCATGTCGAAGAAAATACATAAATAGAAGAGTACTCAAATACTCGTAGAAGTATATATGAACGTGTTTTCGGCTTAATAAAAGTATGCTGCGCAATGTTTTTTATACAAAAGGAAATCTGATGTACACATGCATTCGTATACATATTGTATAGTTGTACCATATGTACATAATGTATATATATTATAAGAAACTGGGTTGTTAGACCTAAATAAATAATTATGTAGATTCGTAAATTTAACCCTGTAATCATATACAATGTTTACAATGAATTAAAATTTTCTCAATTATTTTCAATAATAACATTATAATTATGCATATATATGTACTTAGTTAGGTAATTATACCAACCTATTTCTGTTATCAAAATTCCTGTAACAATTGTAAAAATATTTTATTAAATGAGAAATCAAAATTAAAGCTCAAAACTTGTGCACTTATTTCTTTTGTATTGCAATGTTGATTGCTATCAAACTTTGAGAAACAAACTTTTGATAAAACCACATATTTAACCTTTTAGATTTTACATTGAAATTTCTGAATTTATTGTTTAGTATTTGATGTAGGTACGTACTTAATATTTAAAATCTAAGTGTTCCTAATTATATAATTAATTTTTTTTTTATATTAATGATAATTAAACTTTAAATAAAGTTAAATAGTTAAAAGTGTACATTTTCTCCTAACTGTCCAGAATAAAAAAAGAATTAATTCTAAAGCATATTCGCAACCTGGTTTGATCTAACTTACATATATCTATCATAAACTTTTATCTAACATATTGTAATTTATTTTGTTTCATTTTAGAAATGATTCATTTGAATGACTTGAAAACTTCAACAGTATTTTGTTTATTTTTCGAAGGCATTGAATAAAATAGAATGAAATAAAATTAAAATAAGTAATTATTTCATAAAAATTAACATAAGCCTCTTATTGATTAAAAGAATAATTAAAATTTGAAAATGGAAGATAATTTAAGCACAAAATCTTCAGATTCATTAAGCACAAGTGGAGAATATGAAATAGTACCAGAAGCTCCTATATTAAATACAACAACAATAACAGATATAACAAATAATATTGTCTCGAAGGATTGTTCAGTATTTCCGAAAAATGAAAAGAAAACCACAAGATCTCCAACTCTTAATATTGCAAATAATGGTGATTTTTCAGCATTAGAAAAAGATATGAATGAAGTTATTAAAGAATTGGACACGGAAAAGTCATTAGGTAAGTTAATATATGTATGTACATATAAACGTATGTGTACCTATGCTAATACAATTTCATGAAAAATATTATGTAGACAAGGAATTTTCTTTTTCAAGTTTTAAGTTATTTAAAATTAAACATATAAAAAAAGTATCGTAAGATTGGGTAATCATAGTAATTTTTATAATGTAAATGGAAAGCTTTATTTTTGAAATATTGGTATATTCATTTTAGATAAACATACATACATATACATCTATGTATATATTTTTTTATAAAAATTATTCGAATTGAATGATTTCATTTTAAAATAAAATTACTTATGTTTTAACTTAAAAAATCGCCAAATTTTTACTTTGTTCGAGAACATCTATTTTCCACTTCTTCCGCAGTAACTTATAACACTATTATTGACTTATCATATAATGGGCGGTATATACATGTACCGGGATACATAAATTTTTTTATTTTTTTGTTAATAGTTAATTAGTATATTCGTTTGAACAAACATTTTATATTGAATTTCTTTTGAGAACTTTGAGATATCACACATTGTAAAATAAAATGTAAATAGAGACACTATCCTTTTCATAATTTTTAGATTTTATAACATCCCCCATAACTTATAAGAAATATTTTTGACCTGTAGCTCATCATTACTATTATTTTGAAGATTTTGTAGAACAGCATAAAAATTTTGATATTAATATTACATTGATTGCTAAATTATTAAAAAATAAATTAATATGAAATAATGTAACTCTCAATAGAACTAATCAAATTAAACAAATTCATTCTGTGAATATAAAATTATGAATTTCTGTAATTAACACATTTTTTTGTATAATCAACATTTGTCTAAAATAAGCATTGCAATTATTCATTTGGTTAACTTATATTTTATAATTTGGTTTTTAATTTTGGAAAATTACACAAAAACAAAAAACAAATTTTAAAGGGGAATTAAAGTTTTACGACATTTTCGAGAAAAAAAAAATAAAACATTAAATTAAATTCTTTTATTTCGTTTGTAAATTCTTTTAATACTCTGTCTTCTTTAGAATATATCGAGAACAATTCAAATTTTGAATCATTACTTAATGGCTCAATCGAAATCATGCCAATTATAGAATCACCAATTTTAGATTTATTTGTTTTAAAGGCTGAAATAATGGATGCAACCATAGAAGGTTCAAACAAATTTGAAGGTGATTCATTTTAATAATAATAAAAAAAAGGCTTTTTTTTATTTTAAATGAAATATGTTTAATTGATTTTGCTATAATCGTTCATCTTCATTACCAAATTTTATATTCATATCTATCAAAAAGAATTGAATTTATTAAACAATTAAAATATTAATTAAATATTTAATATACATGCATCAATATTATTTCATTTTCTCATTCATATTTACATATTCTTAAAAGTGTAATTTAAAAATTTGCAATTTATATCAATATTCATATTTCTAATCGATTATAGTTAAGTACAATAAATTTTTTATTAAATTGTAGAAAATAACTTTCAAGACTTACTTTTAAATAAAGTTTGAAATCAGAAATCTTTTATATTAAATTTTATAATTTACAAAAAAATATTAGAAGAAGGATCCAACTTACAAAAATGAAATTCCAAGCATCAATTCAAATGTTTTTAAGATTTAGGAAGTGAAAACGTGGAGTTTTTTAATTTTTGTAGATAAAAAGAATAAGTAAATAAATAAATAAAAGACATGTAGAATTTTATAGTTGACACGGAAAACATCTTTAATTATTTCTTTTTCAAAAAATTTTTGAATTTCCTTCTTAAAATAAAAATTATTTCAATCCTGTCCTTGCAATCCTGCTTTTTGCAATATGTTTGGGCTTAAAGTTAAAAGTAGAACGATTTGTAGATGAACTTTAGAATGTTTTTCGATGATTTATAATCAAAAAAATCCAACAAACTCTATTAGAAAATTTGAATTTTCATTCTTCAATGTATTTTACATAAAGAAATCATAAATTTCAGAAATTATGTTAATTTATAATTACAGGTTATTGTGATATTTTATAATTAATCAAATTTCTTGTTTCTGTTTTTGTTTTAAATTTAAATATTTTACATTTAAATCATATGTTTTTATTTTCTTATCTTATAAATATAATTTTCATTTGGCTTTAATATTAAAAATCACTTACTCTTTATACAGTTCATTAAATACTATTTATTTTGTATGAAACTTGCACAAGTAAATCTGTTAATATTATCTATTTGGCCGAAAGTTTTAATTGTTTTCAACGTTATTGCTCATGGAATTTATTTACAATTTTGTCGAAATAAAGTATAATCTAATTTTATCTTTTTTTTGATACTGTTTATCTTAAAAATTTGGCATTTATAGAATTATATAAATACAATAACATGGGAATGTTTTGTTTGCTTTTGATAACGAAAATTCAATAAGAAATTAAATAAACTATAAGTAATTAATTTTGGAGTATAAATTATTTTTGTATAAAGAAATGTAACTTAAATCAATACCTGGAATCATAGATATAAGAACTTATTGTTTTCATAATTTTTTTTTTTAAATATTTGTGTAAGCTTTCTATTAAAGAAAAATTAATATTGTTATACTGTTTAAGTGTATGTGCTTTAATTTCAATTACAAGTATAAAAATATTTAAATATTAATATAAATATTAAATTGTTAAATTAAAAAATTACAAATATGAAATTTCTAAATATAAGTCCACGTTCATGAAATCTAATTTTGTGTTATAACGATAAAAGAACAAACCGTCATACAAAATTGTATTTTATGTTTTACATTTTAATAAACAAGTAAAATTGAATTTATTATTTTTCCGAATTTAAACGATTAATATTTTCTAGGCCAATATTTTTTTTTTAAATTACGAGCATCTGAAACGTATAACCAATTTTTAATAAGAAACTTTTAAAATTTTGTTTTATTTAATTCGTTTATCGTTCTACACCATTTGTTCAAATAAATTACAAAACAAAAAAATTATTTACTTAATGAAAATGTTGTACACAATAACATGCGGTGCTACGACATATATGTATACTTATACTTACATTCGTTTATTATTTAACAGATGCCGATCAATATGGTGATCTAAAATAAAAAAAAAATATATAATGTCTATAATTTAGCATAAAGTGGAGTCTTAAATGTAATAGTTATCAAAATAATTATTATGTACATGCTTTTTCTATTTCTATTTAGTTTATATTTATATTACATTAGTGTATACGTATGATTGTGAAGTTAACACACCTGAATTGTGCTTATATAATACATATAGTTCTACATTTTGAGTGTGATCGTGTTGTTTGGTCAATATTTATTTTGTTTGAGATGAGACAAAGTTATTGAAAAATTAAAATGGAACTGAAATTGATTTATTCAATTTGATTTTTCTATTAGTTTGTATTGCTTTCTTTTATAAAACTGAAAACGATTACTCATGTCATACTGCTTTACATTTCTCGGTATAAAGCAAACACATTTCATACAGTTTGATTTTAGATACAAAATTAAATTAAACAAAATTTAAGTTGACTCTCACTATTTTATTCATAATTTCATATTTACTTCACTTAATATATTTTTAATTAAATTTAAACTAATTCGTAATTATGTCAAACTAAAGAATTGTAGCAAGACAATACTATAATTTCACAATAAAAATATTGATCATATAATTATTCTCAATAATTATTAATGTTCACCAATAATAGGTACCTATTTATCTACGCATGCCATCCAAAATTTCAAAATAAAGTCAGTAATGATAAAGATGTAAATGAGAAATGATGTGAAATAAAAATGAACAGAGACTGAACTATTATTTAAAATTTGGAAAAAAATATTTCAACAATTTTTTTTTTTTTAATTACACTCAAAATATAGAGTAAATAAACAGACAAATTTTAAAATACAGCAACGAAAATGATGTTTGGTTGTTTAAAAAAAAGAAAATATCAGGGTAAATTTGTGTGTATAAAAGCTTGATCAGAAATGCTAAAAGAGAATAATATTCTGTATAAAAGAGTTTTAATATTAAAAACAACAACAAAACGTATTGAGAAAAAAATTAAATTCTTTTAATTAATTTTTATTAAAAAAATTGATATTATTATTTGTTTTTTATTGAAGATTCCACCCCTTTATTTTTGTTTAATTTTTTTATTTTTTCATTGATAAGACATCGTCATTCATTTAATATTTCTTATACAAGTATGTAGATATTTAAAATAAATATATAAAATTGTTGCTGATTTTTGAAAATTTTTCTTTTTTGACTTTATGCGTACATAATTATACAGAAATAAATTAATTAATATTAAATTTAATATTAATAATTTTATGTAGCACCACCGAAAAATACAAATAAATCGATGACATTACCATTGGTTGAATCAATTTCAAAGGAGAAAACTGAGCCAGTACCAATTAAGGTATCTCCTACAGTATTATCAATACAAAAAGTTATAACTCAATCAGATGAATTATTATCACCTAAGAGTGATTTATCAACTCCTGACATTAATCGTGTTGGTCATTCAGTTTTTTACGATTGCATCGATACTAGTCCATTATCAATTTTACCTGCAAATGGTGTCGAAAAGCAAGATAAACCAGAGAAATCAGATTCTGAAGAGGATTGTAAGTTGAATAAAAAATAAAATAATTTTTTATTGTTTATATTAAAATAAAATATTTTTGATATTTTAGCATCTAATTTTGATCGTGGCTATACAACATTCTCTGGAATAGTACATTTGGGAGCTGTAAACATCAATTCACCAGCTTCTGGTCCAGAAGTTCAAATGAGAATATCAGAATTAAATAGTAGCACAACTTCAGCTGGTCATATCGTTTCAGTCAGAATTCCTAATAATTCAGACGGGTCTATTGTGTAAGTTATTATATAAAAATTTCATTAAATATTAAATAAAATGATTTGTTTTGATGTTTTGCAGTTTGTATGATGCTGAAACTGATGTAATAGTTTATAGTTTTGAAATTCAAAGAATAGTCTTTTATACTCATGGTCCTCCAAATAGTCCGGATCAAGCATGTTTTGCTTTTACATGGAGTCACGGCGAATCTTACGATACAGCAATGCATAAATGTCATGTTTTTAGATGTCATACTCCTGAAGCAATTACTCAAATAAGCGGTAATTTTTGTTCATTCTATGTTTTTTATTGTAAAATTTAAAATAAATTTCTTAATCTATGATCTAGCTTGCTTCACAAAAGCATTTGTTCCACCTGTTAGTTTAACTGGAAGTGTTACATCGGCTGTAGATAATAATAGTGTTATGATGGCATCTATAACATCTGATCAAAGTGGGAATCCTTTGAATACAGCTAGTTATGATTTCATCGTAACCCTTTCATTTAGTGAAAAAATAGACAAAAAAACATACAGTCCTGTAACACGTGATAAGGGATGTTTTAAATTACATTGTAATACAGATAAAGAAGTAACAATAATTGTTAAACAAACTCCATCCGACGTATTACAGCCATTATTCATTGAACGTTGTTTTGGAGTTTTGTTAAGTCCTGGAAAACTAATTCGACAAGCTGATATGCAACTTTTAGACATGGTATCAATGGGATATCAAAGGTCTGAAACCGTTGCATCCCAAGCACTTTGCCCTTATCGTATTAGAGCTGAATGTAAAGCAAAAGAAAAAGCATTTAAGCAGTTAAATTTTGAATCTTCAAAAACATTTTTGACCGTCGCTGTTGATTTAGTTATTAAAGGAATACAAGAACCAGTTCGTTTCGTTATTGAAACAGCTGTTTCAATACAGCCATTGCATGAAATTCGAATAATGGATCGGTTAAATAACTTAATTTCAAAAAGTTCGATGTCTTTAAGATTTTATCTTCAGCTAAAACGAAGCGACGATGAATTGTGGGAAGTAAATTCTATTGATCCGTCTGAAGAAATTATAGAACAATCTTCAACCACACACCACGTTGGCGCCTCTACATTCTTTAACAATTTATCAAAAATAGTTAAATCTTCAAGTATAATGGACGACGTTGAAGATGATTGTCCATCTGAATGTAGTTCTGACGGTGATGAACCATTACTAAGCGGAACTGGAGAAGTATCAAAAGATTGTTCTCCAGATTTATTACATGAATGGAATCCTGTTCTAAAAGAATGGGACAATGAAAAACGTCCAAAAGCATTAGCGGCCCTTGTAAGATGTGGTATCCCTGAAGCACTTCGGGGTAAAATTTGGCAAAAGCTGGCAAATGTTGAAAATAAAGACATGACTGATACATACAGAATTTTAATAACCAAAGTAAGCATTCTCGAAAAAAATTTGAATAATGTATTTAAATACTATAACCTTTGCAGGAAACTAAATGTGAAGCTATGATAACGAAAGATATAAATCGAACTTTTCCAGCACATAAGTACTTTAGAGAAAATGGTGGAACTGGTAAGTAACAAATGAAACTTACATAAAATAGTACTTTATAAGAATATATTTTTTTAGGGCAAGATTCATTATTCAAAGTATCAAAAGCATACGCCGTTTACGATATGGAAGTCGGTTATTGCCAAGGACTAAGCTTCATTGCAGCGAGCCTTCTCTTACATGTAACATTTTAATATAAGTTAGAGTTGAAACTAAGAAATTTTGTTTTTAGATGCCTGAAGAAGATTCATTTTCGGTTCTGGTATCAATCATGTATGAATACGGTTTACGTGAGCTCTATAAACAAGGATTCGAAACACTTTATTTGCATTTGTATCAGTTAAATCGCTTAATTAAAGATTTACTACCAAAATTATACGAACATTTCGAACGAAATGGTATCGAAACTCACATGTTCGCTTCACAATGGTTTCTGACATTGTTCAATGCAAGATTTCCTCTCTATTTTGTATTCCATGTTTTGGATATATTTCTTTTAGATGGCATGACAATATTATTTCAAGTAGCTATAACCTTATTACAAATTTGTGAAAACGAATTAAGACAATTAGATTTTGAGGGTATTCTAAAATATTTTCGAGTATCTTTACCCAGAAAATGTCGTAAAGAACGTGAAGCTGATCGGGTTTTGAAAATGGCTTGTGATCGAAAAATTAAAAAATTAAAACAATATGAAGAAGAATTCATAATAAGAAAACGAAATGAAGAACTTCTTGAAAAAGAAGCACAAATTTATGAAGCAAAATTTGGTGAGGAACGTAAAAAATTTCATGCAGAAATTAAAGATTTGCAAAAAAAATTTGATGATGCAAATGAAAAAATTAATCAAAATGAAAAACGTCATTCAAATATAGTTGAAGACTATAAACAAATAATAAATAGGCAAGAACAACAAATAACCAAATTAAATTGTATGTTGGAGGATATTACGGTAAGAAATTCAATATAAAATAATTAGAAAAGTATTTTATTAATTACTTATTTTAATTTTGTTCAGAGAACTGTGTCTACATGTCAGTCTTGTTCAACTTGTATACATCAAGGTGATACAAAAATTAATAAAGATTTTAAAACTGCTTTGGAGGAAAACACTAAAAAAGTTGAAATGCCATTAGGTCCCTTAGACCCATTACACTTAGCTCAACAACGTGTTCGTGAATTGGAATTAGAATTAGCAGCAGTTAAATTAGCAAAAGTTGAAGCTGAATGTGAGAATCAAGAATTAAATCACCAATTAAATACAACTTTAACTGAAATGCAAAGTAATAGAAACAGCTGGCAACCGTGGTTATCAAAAACTATTAACACAATTCAAGAAAAAGTTACGACAACACGACGCGATACTCCAACATTCCAGTCATATACAAACTCGTCGCATAATCAAAACCTCGATAATGCAGGAAGTCAGGTATAATTTAAGAATATGTATCTCTTTAATTTATGTGTTAGTTTAGGAAATAATAAATTGATATTAAATATTAATTTTAATTTTTTTTTTTTATAATTTGTGCCTTATAGCTTTTTGTTCTTACCAAGCTTTTCTGTTTTGAATTTAAGTTTATGTTATTTTTGTTTGAAATAAAAAAAAATTTTTTGTTTGACCAAAGTTTTATTTATTTATTTATTATTTTATATAGACTAAATACCGTACATACACGCTACCTGAACGTTAATATACATATTGTTATATGCATTTAAAAAAAATATTATTTTCGGAATGAAAAAGTTGGTAGCCCACTGAAAAATAATTTCCTTGGACTTCCAACTATAAATTTGGAAAAATATTTTCAACTATTATTTTGCATATTTTAAAAAATATTAAAAATGTTTATTTATTATTAATTCACATGTAAATGCATAATGGAAGACTGACAAGCTTTGAAACTTATTAGTTTTTCAAAATCTACAATGAAAAACAAAGAGTATAGATGTATCCATCACAATACTAGAGCTCCTATATGAATTTTAAATTCCTTTTCTTTTAACAATTAAATATAAATATTTAAATAAATAATAGTTGAAGTACTTTTTATTTTCATAAATATTTTTTTGGTTGCACATCATATTTTGTAATATTTTTGACATATTTGTTTTTGAATATCTCTTTTTGTATATGTATATATATATTTTTCCCGTTAACAGGATAAGAACTCGACAGCAAAACAACAAATGGAAGCTTCACCAAAGCTACCAGCAAAATATCAACCTCATAATAATATTCGTAATAATAGTGTTGATTTAAAAAGAGATCGTCCTATATTACAAAGCGCTTTGAGTTTTACCAGTCTTAAATAACATAAAAATTTTATGAATCAAGATATTCAAAAAAATTGTTAAACAAAAATATTTATCATAAATTTCATTATTAAAAATTTATATTCATACAAATTTATTTTAATATGTACATAATATGTAATTTATGTGCATATAAATGTTTTGTTATTAAACATACAATTTTTCAACTATGATCAGATCTATAGAATATTTCATATTTTGGGAAATGATCTACATATTTGTTTTCTCTTTTGTTTTTAAATAAATTAATTTATAACATACTTTACTATTGACGCCAATATCCGATTACATCTATGTATCTTTTATTTAATTAAATAATAAAAATTTCAAAATTAAATTTTCTGATAATCAAAAATTTGGAAAGATATTTGTTGTAAGTGTTCGGATACTTGAATTTTATATACAAAAAAGGATCAAAAAATTATTATACGTTTTGAAAACAATTTCTCAGAAAATATTGTTCTAGATACGGGCTAAAGTTCGAATTTTTGCTTCTTAGTTTCGTAATATACAATAAGTATGTATAAAGCACGCAGATTTAGATTTCCACACAAATTTGTTTTCTATTAGATATGCGAATTGCTATTTGAGAAATACATATATACAATATTATGTAGAAAATTAAAGTAAAAACTTTTATATAAGAAAATATTAAAAAATTAAATGAGTACATAATGAATGTAAATATTAAGCTTACTACAAAATATACCTAACTACATATATAATAGATATTGTTAGAAAAATTCTTACCAAATTAATAAAACGAGTCGCTAGCTTATTTCATCTTATACTTATTTACTTTATCTAAATCAAAATACTTCAAATTATTTTTAGCTGATTTTTTCTTCTGAATTTACGGGAAATTGAATTGGCCTAACAAGTTATTTTTAATATCAATTATGTGTTAAAGTTTAATTAATTTAGAAACGCAACTTTATATGAACGCGCTCCAGTTTTAAATAAAAATCATTTTCGAGAGAATAACAATGGATTTTAGTTACAAAACACAAATTTGTACACAGAATTAACCGAAAAAATCAAAACCTAAAAACTAATATTGCTGTCGATCTTAAGAGTAAAAAATATTTAAATTAAAGGTGTTCACAAAATTAATAATGGAAAATTCAACTATAGCAAAAGATTAATGATGAATCCAGGATTTTAAAAAAAAAATTTATATTTTTAATAATAGAAAAATGTTTTAATTTTTAAATTATGAGTTACTTAAATATGTTCTTTTATTCTATGTTTATAGAACTGTGCATTATTTTTATTCTTTAATGTAGTTTAATTATTTAATGGTCTGTTCTACGTTTAAAAACAAATAATTATACGAATTATCATATCAATAGTCCTAGAAACTAGTTCTTTTCATTTTCAATATGTCTTAATTTCGAAATATGTTTTAGTTTAATATACTTATAATATAATATTTTTAAAAATTTTACCAACAGAGCAAGTAAAACAAAATATTAAAAAACAAAAAATTCAATTGAACAAATTCGAACTTATTTTGAATTGTCGCTACGCTAAGTTTGAATTTTTTGTGTAATTGTCCTACTAGGTATTTATAATAAACAAAATAAAATTTTAACTTGTAGAAAAGTAAATGTAATTTGTTTTAAATAATATGTATAATTTAATTATAATTGCTATTGCCATTTTCTTCTTTCAAATTTGTTAAAAGTATTGTTTTTATTAAAAAATTTTCTACTCACATAACGGTATAAATGAAATGTGTAAAATGTGTGTGAGTGAAATTTTAAATTTAAAGTTATTTATTATACCCAAAATTCATACATACTTAAAACATTAAAGTGTAAACAAAAAAAAAAGGATCACTAATTAAAATAAAAAATTTTAATTTTGTTCTCTTAAAAAACTCATAATAAAATTCGAAATTATCGAATGAAAAATAAATGTATGAAAATAATAATAAAAAACAAAAAGATAGGTACATTAAGAATTAGTTCATTTATTTGAAAAAAAAAATATTAAACATAAAAATAAATAAGTATATATACATATATATAAACATACATACATATATAAAATAAATAATAGATAACTTGCCTAAAATGTTATGTTTCCTTTTTTAATGTTGTAATAATACTCAAATCTATATAATAAAATATTTCCTATATTTTGTTTATTTAAATGAAAAAAGAAAATAAAATAAAAATCAATTAAGTTAAACTTAAATTAAGTATTTTGTACTTTTTTATTGAATTGTTTTTCATGATTTTATTAAAAGAAGTACTCTAACAGATTATTTATTTAGAATTATGTAATATCGTTATACGTAAGTATAAAAGTGATGTATTCGGCACTTTTTTAAGTTTACCTTAAATTGTCATCCAGAAAATTGATCGAACAAATTGAGAAAATTCATTTTTCGCCAAAGACAATTTTGAAATCTATTATTCTTTTTTTTTCAATTTTAATTGAATTATCATTAGTATTATATTTTAATGTTCTTTCCATGTATTGTAAAAGAATATTGAAAATGATAAAACTATTAAGGCGCTTATAATGCAGCTTGAGTTCGATCTAATATGAAAGCTACATAGGTACAGAAATATGAAGTCGATCCGATAAAATTATAAGCTTGGTTTGAAAATCCACTTCATATACGCGGTTTGAAAAATTGAAAAAAACATACTATTATTACGTGGAATGCTTGTCAGCTAGTATCAAATCAAGTCGATTTCAAGCAGCATTATTTCAATCTGTACATAATAAAGGCAGATTGAGATTTCAAGTCAAATACTCGATTTGCCATATAAACGAAGTGTATGTATGAATTCTGGTATGTATACATATATGCGAGTCAAACCATAAATAGTTATATCTGCTTTTCATATCTACTCTTTATACTTACTCCGAAGAACTTATATTTTAGAAAATTCAAAAATTTTTCGTTCTTCGATTGATATATGTCAAGTACAGAGCAAAAGTAATTTCCCGCGGCAAATGTCAAAATTCATTTCACATCTGTCGTCAACAAATGATGTCAATAAAACAAACCACCAACGGTGAAATAAGATTTTATTTAGGCTTTTTAACCGCCTTATCCAGTCCAATATTATGTGCATTCAATGTAATATTTGACATTTCGCCGTTGAAAATCACTCTGGTTCTTTTTTTACTTTCATAAAAGTCAGCCTAAATCCTGAAAACTAAATTACTTTTACAAACAAATTTCTAATTTATATATAAGAAATATTTGTAAATTACTTTTAAAAACTGGAACTAAAGAAACTGATTTTTAATAATATAAAATGAACTTAAGTATTAACACTAACCGTGTCACACATAAAAATATTACTCTAATAAAAATAAAAAGTGTAAACGATCATTTTAATAGGGCTTCAAAAAAACAACAAAAGTATATCGCTACAGCGCCGCATTTCCTCTTCGCATTTTATTTTAACGCGGTAGTAAATTGGCAATATTTAAAAATTAAAATGCTGCCAACATTACAAAAAAAAATGTGGTACATTTGTTAAAAAATCTGAATTGAATAGTTTGCAAAGAACCATTGGACGTTTCAGTAGAAGTGATTTTAATGCGTTGTAAATTAATAAAAAAAAAAAAATTAAAAATTCCTAAAATAAAAAAAAATTTTGCTTTTTGAAAATTTTATTATAAAATAAAAGTGATTTGGTGTAAATTTAATAAAAATAAAATTAATGAAAAATATTTTTAGCATTTTAATAATACGAAATTTTTGTTCAAAATGCCGGTTAAATAGAAAAATATAAAAAAAAAAACTAATTTTAAAAATTAAATGAGTGTGTATTTATTATTTTGTTTGGTTGGATGACAGTGAATCAAAAAAAAAAAAAAAATAAAAAAAAAATCTACAAGCACGATTTTTCATACAATAATTTTCGCTTGATAGAAAAAGTAAAAGATTTTTTTTTTTTTATGATGATGATTCTTAACTAAGTGATTTTTGCTTGAATATTCAAAAAGAAAATAATAAGCGACGTCGTTTTCACAAAAACAAAAGGAAATAAAGAAAAAGTGTAAAAATAGTTAATTACGTTTGATAATATTGAAAAATTTTCTAAAAGTTATTGAAATTTATTTAAAAAAATACCAATCAAAGATTTTTATTTTATTTTTTGCCTTTTTGTTTTATATGGAAAGGTTTTTGGCGTGGTTTTATTATTGTGTTGGTTTGTAGAATTTCAAATTCCAAGAAATACAATAATTTGACATGCGTATGTGTTGGTAGAAACACTTGTCATTTGAAAATTTTTTTGATAGAATTATAAAATTCAAAATATTTACCTTATTCTTGTTCTATGATTTTGAAAATTGTTTTAACAAAATATTCTTATAAAATAATAAAAATACCTAAATATTTACAATAAAAAAAGAAAAAAAAAAAACGAAAAAATCTAAATATGTAATTTATGAATTATAAAAATTAATTCTTATATAAAATACTACAAACAAACAAAAAAAAAAAGAAAAAAATAATAAAAATAAAAGAAATTTAAGTGTCTGCTTGAATGTTTATAAATTTGTATTGGAAATAATAATTTTTTTTTTATAATAATAATAATAGCCTTGCTTGCTCTAGTCTCAAAATAAAACTTATGAGATAAGTTTATATAGAATTTCCGCCATTAGAAAATAAAAAAGAAAATAACCAATAAATAGTAAATTGAATAGTAAAAAAGTTTTGTTTATTGTGAAAAAAAAAAAAAAAACAAAAAAAAAAAATTATTAATAAAATAATAATTATTGTACCTATCTATCTACCTACGTTTTACAAATTGTTTTTTGTATCTTACATTGAAACCAAAATAGTTTTCTTTAAATTGAAAATTGAAATATTGTTAACTAAAATAATTAACGACAGAATTAAATAATTAAAAAAATAAAACTAGTTAAAAAAACGAAAACAATTTTTTGTTTTAAGTTTGAAATTCAATTTTTTTTTTCTGTTTTTGTTTAATTTTTTTTTTTTTTTTGCAATGGCAATGGCAGATCTTTTTGATTTAGAATTAGGACATGAAGATCAGAATCCAAGAGATTCTGATGACGACATCATTGAATTAGATGATGTAAGTATATTTAAATTTGTTATTAATTAAATATTTTTGGAAAAAATTACAATATCAATTTTGAGAAGAATACAATCAATGTAGTCTATATGTGTAGACGTATGAAATATATCTATACATTTTTGTTGTAAGAAAACGTTTTTTTTTTTTTTGTGTGTGTTCTTACTCCTATACTTTTTCTGATAGACTAGACATTTCTCTACCTATTTATTATCTACCTACCCCAATATGTGACTAAACTAGGTATACGTAATTCAAACAAAGTCTTTTAATAATTAATGGTTTTTTTGAAATTAAAGCTACATTATGTATAAGAAAATTAAAAATAAAAATTCATTTAAATTGAAAATATTTTTGTTTTTGTTTTTTAATGAGTAAGTTATTTAAAATAAGAAAAATTTGTCATAATAAAGTCATATAATAAGTAGGTACATATATAAAACTTCATTTAACCTTCAAGTGTAGTGTATGTAATTCATGCTTTTTTTTTCACTGTATTATTCCGCAAGGGGAACAAAGGCTTCAACATAGCCTCACCAACTTTCTCTGTATTGGGCGAGTCTCTTTATTTCTGCCCATGCTTTATATGTTATCTTTAATTTATGCTTAAACTTATGTAAATTTTTAAGAGTTGGCAAAAATATTTTTAGTCGATCATATATGTAGGTACTATACATACAAAATGAGAATGTTTATAAAAAAACACTTGTATAGTTTATTGAATTTTGTCTAAATTTGCAAGAATTTTTATTGAAGTCTTGTACATATTTGATTAATATGGTATTATTTTTCATTAAGGTAATATTAAAAGTGTCTGCATTACAAAAGAAAAATATTTATTAGTTTATAAGTAGGTACCTCAAATTTTATGCTATAATGATAATTTGTATGTCATTCACATATATATACTTAAAAATACATGAGCCTAGAGCTACTATAACTAATTTTATATTAAATTAGGTTTATGATTTTTTATTAATATTAAAATAATTATAAATAAAATATTAATTCTTAATTTAATTTCATATTTAATATAGCTATACTATACTCATATTCTTTTAAATACTTAAATATTTTATTCTCAAATCTGCAATTTATTTATTTATGAAAAGAGCAACAAAAAAAACAATTTTTTTTTTCAATTCGTCATGATCTAAATAATTTCATATTTTTATTATTGCAGTTTAGTTTATACATATTATAAATTATCTTTATTATTGAATTAATTTTTTTGTCATTTTCGCATAAACTACTTATAAAATATTACTTATATGTTAGTAAGAAACATGTCTGTAAGTATAAATATTCTTACATATTTGCATAAGTTTACTTGTGTATGTTTCTATAAAGAAAAAATATTGAATAGGATAAAAAGATATGCAATAATTATAATATAAAAAAAAATTCATATATGGTACATACTAACATACAAATATTAATTTCGACATTATTATTTATTATTAAGTACAAAATAAAATAAAATAAAATGTATACCCTATGAAATAATACAAAAATATTTATTGAGTTAGACATTATTATTATGTTTTTGTACTGTACATGAAAATAGCCCAGCTACAAGTAAAAAAAAAAATTCTACAAAAAAAAAATATTCTTCTTCTTAACTTAATTTTGCATTTGTATAAATGCCTCCTTTTATACACACAAACACATACACACGAATAATGTACGTAAAATATAAAGTTCAATGTCCTTTTTATAGAAATTTTCTTTTATTCTTTTGTTATTATTATTTTGCTGTTCTTTTTTTTTTCTGTTCTTAATTCTGTTTATTGAACATTAAATGAAAATTTGTTACTCATAATCGAATGTATGTCATTTGTAAAATGATGTGCACAAGTAAAAAACTTATAATACAATAAAAAAAAAAAAAAAAAAAAAAAAATTTTGTAAAAGACATAAAGGAACATGGAGTGAATGACATTCAAATTCGATGTATCACTAAAAAGTTTTTACACACAAATACAACCATACAAAATACTTTTACAAAGGGGACAATCAAAAAACATCAGAAAATAAAATACAAGAGGGAAGAATTTATTGAATTCAGAACAAGACGAAAAGAAAATTTTTTGGTTTTTTTTTTTTATTATTAAATTTTCGAATTACAGCATCATTCAAATACAGCATTTTGATTAAAATTCTGAAATATTCCTGTACTTTTTCCGTATTGTGCTTATATAAAATACTTATACAATATTATTATACAGGCATATATACATACAACTATGCCTATATTTACAAGATATTTTATGCACTCTTATTTAATTTAAAATTTTTTAAATTTCTCTGATTTTCTACCCCTTTATTTTATTTTTTTTTGCTCAATTTCATATCCTTGCATTTATTAACCCTTGTTTGTTGTTGCACGGAGGCATTTTTTTTGTTGCATGTATTTTCGACTCCATAATTAATATTTAAAATCTTACAAAGCCATTTAAGAAACTACATTTATTGTGTTAGCAAGACGGGAGTTAGAGTATGAAAACGACATATGAGAGTTCTTGAGAATAATTTAATAATATTTAAAGAATCCAGATAATTAGTACCGGCTGATTATCTTAAATTTAATGTAAAATTAATTGAGTTTAATTGTTTTAATAGCTTAATATTTTAGTAATTTATGAAAATGTAATTTTTAATATAAGGCAAATTCCAAGAATTTTTAAAGAATAACTTCTTAGAATTTAAGAAAATCGTTGAAAAGTAGGTTAATGCTAGAAATATGTACCTGATTATTTAGTTATTTCTAATATTAATTTTGAAAGGATCACTATTGTTTAGTAAAAATAATTATAAAATTTATTATTTTTGGTATATAGATAGTACATTCAAGATTTAGGATATTCAGGTACTTAAGATCTCAGATATCTACACTTTATCATGTATGTACTTATATATTAAATATTTTTATTTCAAAATTTAATTATACATATGTACTTAATTTTAAAATCAAATTTCTATACTCAGGCAAAAATATGGATTGTGAATTGTTTTTTTTTTGGCCAAGTTGAACAGAAAAAATTTAATATTTGAATTAAATACATATTTGAAGTTACTTACTTAAAAAGTACTAAAATATTTAATTACTTTTATGACATTGCATTAAATTATAAGATCTTCACTGATATTAATAATAAATAATTGAGTGTCTATTAAAAAAAAAATAGTTTTTTTTTTTTTACTTTAATACGAGTATTAATTACTGATTAAGAGTATTTTTCATTAATTTGAAATGTTTAAAAAAACAACATAAGTACTTGTATTTTAAAATATACTTGTATTTTAATAAAAAATATCTGCGAGATTTATAGTAAATAATTGCAAAAGACATTAATTAAAAATTACAGTCATTGTTGAAATAAGTATCTACTACAAACAAGGTGCATTTGTTCATGTTCATTTTGAAATAATTATTAAGAATAATTCTGTTACATAATATTTATTATTAATTTAATATCCAATGTAGGAACTTGCACCTTTCCATCCTAAATTTTATACAATTAAGAACCAAAAATTGCTATAATTTTACACTTATTTAGTTGTTATAAACGTTATACATATATATATATATAAGTACGCTTTTTTCTCATTGGAAAATTTTTCAAATTTGAAACTTCATGCAGTTTTTCTAGCAATCTCAGAGTATAACTGAGAATACTTAATTCTATACTCTAATTTTAATAAGAATTTCATGCTTCTACTCTGCCAACTTTTAGAATTTTGTGTTGTTCCATCTTGAATAAAATTTGCTACGTTTTAATTGTTCCATACATGCATTTATAATTATAGACTTGCATTTTGTCGGTTTATTCTAAAAGTCGTGACTAAATTAAAGTTAAAGGAGCATAGCATTTGATTTCTCATCTTAATCAATCTTAAGCTATATACATATATATTGAAATAATGTAAATTACTAAAAAAAATTATGGTAATAAATTAATTATGAGTCATACATGCGCATACTATATACACCAATTTAAAAAATTATTTTTTACATTTTCAAACTTAAAAAAGAAAAAAATTTAATTCACAATGGTTATTGAGATTGGTTATTGCAAGATTAAATTCAAATGCATTCATATTGTATTTGAAATTAAAAAATCAGCTGATTATAAAAAATTTTTATATTTTCGTTTACATTAGTATTTAAAAATTGTTACGAAGTGTAAAATTTATTTTTTCTTTTTAATTAAAAGTAGTGTTCAAAAAAAAAACTATTCTTTAAAAGTTGATTTACAAAATACACATAAAATCATATATAATAGACATACATACATATATACTTATAAAATGAATTAAAAAAATTAAAAAAAAAAATTATGTGCAACGTAGTTGCAATTTTACGAACATTGTCATATACATACGAACGTACATACTTGCATATTATTTTTTTTTCTATGATTTTCTTGTTTCTTCATTTTTCTCTTTTCGTTTTTTTTATTATTTATATTACATATTTTTAATTGCTATTATGTAGGTGCGCATTATAACTTTATAAGGAGGGAATGTGCCATTATATATATACATATTTATAAATGTATTTATGTATATACATTATAAAACTAGTTATAGAATTTATCTCTCACTATTATTTTTGTTTTTATTTGTTTTTTTTTTTTTTTGTAATTTTACTGAATGAAAAATTTTTGTATGATAAAATAAAATAGATACAAAATATTATTTTATTTCTTTAATTCGAAATTTTTATATAATATGCTCATATATGTACATAATAAAAAAAAAAAATTGTAATATATATAAGTAATATTTACTTATATAATAATTTGGAAATGTATTAGTAAATTGAAATAGTAAAAGTATAAATAATAAGAAGAAAAGAAAACAAATAAGAGAAGACAATAATATAAAAAAAAAAAAAAATTATATATAAAATAAAGTAGGTTAGACAACTGACATAAATGATGTGTATACGTACATATATTTTATATACAAAGGTATATATAGTTATTTATTATGGA